ATTTCCTTTGTGATTATACTTTATAGAGGAAAGGTTTGTCAGAAGTGAACTTATTTGTCAAAAGGTTTAGCAATTGTGACTTATCAGAAAAAGTTCTCCTAAATGCATTTGAGATTGTGTGTTTGATGATCATGAGACGCAATCTATTAGATCGATCTCATTTTTCTATTTCTCTCTTATCCTCAAGAGAGTCTTTGGGTCAATCTATCTTCAATGCAAGGTCCAGATCTACCATTAATGATATATGAACTTAGTGTGTTGTTTAGGCCTAAGTAGATTCAATCAGAGATATTGATATAACCCTGATCTTACATTAATTAGGTAGATCTCACATGGATTGTATTTTTTTTAGGATTTCGAATTAGGGAGATGAGGGAGATGAGCTAGATATGAATTAGAGTGTGAGAGGGAGATATAGATGAAGATATAAATTTAGATGAAAAGAGAAGAATATGAAATGAGTGGATATCTGTGGATCGAAAAAACTATTGATAACCTCTTACCTATATTCTAAATACAATACAAGAATTGAGATGACTTATCAAGATCAGCTCCAAGAGGAGGGAGAAGATGCTGCACCACCTCCTAGCTTCAATTTCACTATCCACTTGATGATCTCCTTCAGACTTAGATGCTCTACTAACTTGTACATGCACTCACTCTTATCCACTAATGGATTGAAGATGAAAGATGCAGGCTTCATTCATCAAAAACAAGGAGGACAAGAGGGATTCAAGCATGTTGTTTCACTTGGCCATATAGGTTTCAGCACAACTGCAGGAATGAGAGAGAAGAGAGAGAAAGCCACAATTTATAGGGCATTTTTGGGCACCCAAAATGTCCTAAAATGTGGCAGAATGTTTCTTGAGAGCCACGTTTTTCCCCTCCTCTTTCCTCCATTTTTGGATTTGGAAACTGTTCTCCATAAAAAGTGGATCACTAGTTGACTATGTCCATCCTCAAGGCTTCTGTTGATCCATTCAATGGGCTCCTTCAAAGGGCTAATTGCTCATTCTGAAATGGGATCAAATAGATGGTAGATAAAAGCCATGACCATCTCTACCTATGTATCATAGAAACCCATAAAAATTATAAGAAATAATCTGCTTGATGTCATAGAAGTCAAATGGAATTAACTCATAATCAACATGCTCATAAAAAGTGTGCAATTAATAAATTGTATCAACATACACGAAATGCATGAATGTGATTAGGTAACATGATAACATGTACTAGTAATTAATGCACATGCATATCGAATAAGCATAAATCCAATGCATGAATGCATGCTATCAACCATACCTAGAGAGGGCATGAAAAGTTCTTTCCATTCTGAAATTTGTTCTATTAAGTACTGAAATTGTATTAATACTGGTAGAAATATTCAAAGCATAACTTGAAATCATATGAAGAACAACATAAAATACTAAAATAAGCATAAGTTCAAATAGCGGGACATCTCATCACAAGATATCTACTACAACATCAATATCATGTCTTTTGATCAAATAATGGGACATAAGATATCGCAAGAACAACTTATTGTTCACATGAAATTTTGAATGATTGTCACATATTTATCATCATAAGTATATGTAATTTGATGAAATACTAAAGCATCTTTTGGGCCGGTCAATATCCTCATGAATCACATGTAGATCATCTTAATATTTTAGAATAATAATTTCCACAAGAGAGCCCACTTTGACTGGATCCTATGTCAATTATATACTCCAAAATAAAAAATGTACCAAAATCGAATTTCATGAAAGTTATTTGATATTTAAGCATGCTCAATGTAAACATAATAATTGAGAAATCAAATAACTTCATAATAATTTCTAAAATAAATATCATAAAATAGAAATTTAGAAATAACTTAAATGATGTCATAAATCAAAATGATGGGTGTTGACATCAGAATATCGAATGAGGACACCATTATGATGCGACCACTCATTCTAGCTATATGAGCTGCCTTAGCCAACAAGACATGACATGTCATTTATTCCTTTTGACTAGAAGAATCGTAATTTAATGAAGAAGAGTTTTGAAACTTGAAATCACACAAAGTATTACTAAATTAAGTAAAAATTAAGTTTAAAGTAAGAAAGACAAAGTTTCAGCCTCGTGACAGCGATCATTAGATGTGTGCGAGATGGTTATCGTGTGATGTCCATAGCCTCAAGGGCTCTCGAATATGGACGTCTTAGGCATTCGCTAGATATTATTTCAAAGTTCAGAAAATGATGGTATAAGTTAAATTAGTTAGAAAATGATGAAATAGAGTTCTGACATTTTGGTGGTGATACATCAAAATCTTAAATGTTCGAAAAGATTTTTTTGCAATGTTTATGGGTCAAAGGATCTCCTTGTACAAGGACGATCTAGACAATCTCTAGATCTTCTTGTGAAGTCTAGAATCAATAAAATAGGTTGTTGAATTGTCTCTAACGACTATCATTCAATGAAGTAAAAAAATGATGACTTTGTAACTCTCTAGCAACTGTCATGTGACGGAGATGAGTTGGATGAAGGTAAGGTGCATCTTAGAGAACTTTATCTTTAGATCCGTGCAACAAGAAGAGGTTCTTCATCGCATTTAATATGCTCTTAGGAGATGGTGACTTGTTTCTCGACAGATCATCTTCTTCTCAACAATGACTTGTTCATCGATTGATTAGAGATGATTTACTTGATGGATTTATAATTTTTTTATTGAAAATCGTTCAACAATTTTAGTAAAATGCTCCACGAATAACATTGATGAGATTTTTACTGATGATTAAATGATTATGACAACTTAATCATTCACTAGAAATTTGTAGGAAAATAATAATTTAATTAGATAAAAATATAAGTTTTTGACTCTAGTAGAATTCAAACCTTTGTTGGTTGTTCGCATGTATAAGAGAGAGTGAAATAAGTACACGAATACCTTTATAAAGTGATATCATAAGAGTATTTTCTTCTAATAAATAAGGGGTATTTTTGGAATTAAAATTATAAAACCCTTCTAGGGAGGCTGTGACTGCTGATTTAGTCCCACATTAGTTATATGCTGAATTTTGAGACATATATATAGTAATACGAAATTTGTTAATCAATGAATCCCTTTCATGTGTGTATACGACCACTCCTTGCCTCATGCCTAACTGGCCACTAATGACGTGGAAGGGGAGTGATGCACACATGTCCCTTACCTATCGGTCCATCCTTAGTGGCTTGAGCCCCTGCTCACGGCTCTACCCGATTATGCTTTTGACCTACTTGCAAGCCCAATTGGTCAGCAAGTTTCCCCCTTTTTTATCTTTTTATTTTATTTTATTTTTCTTTATTTATCTGAAAAATATGATTATAAAAATTATATAAAATCAAATAATAAGACTAAATTTCACATTAAAAAATTTAAAACCACTTTTCACAATTTATCATAAATTATGAAATATTTCTAAAATTCTAAAAAATAGTATTTTTTAATTTTATAAATTTTAAATTTAGTGATTTATTATACAATGATTAAGTCATGTTAGGCATCCACGTGAAAATATCTCTTAAATGACCCCTGCAAAACATTTGCAATGACTTTCTAGAAGGTTCAAGACCTATCACGTGACAACAGGCTGGTAAGAGGTGGTAGGAGTGGTAGGCCCATTAAAGCACTAGAGACTCACTAGTAGCAGGCGGTAGGATGAGGCCAACGCCACACCCAAAGATATGGTCAAGACCACTCATGTGCAAGAATAATGTATTATAAGTCTCAAGCCCAAGGAGGAAAGGCAGGAAGAAGCATCCACTGAAGTTGTGGAGACCAGCCATATCGGGGCAGCCACCCCATCCTCCCATTTCCTCATTTAGAAGGACTAGCCTCGGGCCCTTTGGACGGCCCTTCAATTATCCCACCCCCTTGTACTTTTTTTGAACTCTTGTTATGGTCCGAAGATTCAAAGGTCTATCCTATCTAATCGGTCTTTTAGTTACAGTGAACTTTCCTGGTTTTCCCTCCTTAGTTCCCTCTTTCTCTCCTTTACTCTGTCCCTCACAGCGGATACCCATCATGTTCTCACAGGTTTAGGCTTGAGGGCTCCTTCCTTATCAGTGGTTCATAGCAAACTGGGCACTCAAATATGTCGAATTACGGACTAGCGCCCTTCTCCTCCTCCAAAAGTGAAGCTTCTCGATTCAATATTCAGAAAACTGTGAAGATGGAGATGCGAAGGAAAGACTGGACAATATCTGTGTCTATCAAGCGTACTAAATTCTCCACACTCACAGTGATCCAACTAAGATTGAGTGCACCCACGAAGTATGGAAAGTGCCAAACATTGGGAACTACCCATTCATATCCGAGACCAGTCTCCGGAAGACAGGCAGGAGCCCTACCTTCTCAACAACAACCGCTGCGGCATTGATCCGAAACCATACGGGTGAATGCAGCCTCCGCCCCTTGCAGAAGTGAAGCAGAAGCCCCGGATGGACAGAGATCTTCTGCAAGTCCCGCCCTTCATGTTGAAGGCAAGAATGGGAGCGGAAGGAGTCGGGACAGTCAGCGGAGGAGGCCATCGCTCGTCGCCGACTCCTCAAATTCCCTTTCTTTCTACTCTTCGACCCTTCGACCCTTCGACCGTTCAATATTCTGGAGATTCGGAAAACCCCGCCGTTCTTCATCCATCACCGTCCGCTTCTTCCCACGCAGACGTGGTGTGAGATTCTGAGCTTCACGTCCTTCTCTACTTCCCACCACAATAACCAGGCGATCATTTGTACCCATGGAATTTTTTTATCTTAACGATAGACCAGGGTGGCGGCTACGGCGATAAAGTACATCCATACATAATGTAGTCAACGTGTCTTAACGGCCCGTTGACTGGGAGATACGTTTCCAATGATGGGCTTCTCAGTCCTAGGCCTAATTATAGCGAGGCCCAGGCCAAATAAAGGGGATCTGCATCTATGACTGAGAAATGCACACGAAGGGTGATAAGCCAAATGGTGATAAGTCAACGCTTCTGAGCGGAGAACATGATGAAGAAGTGGTCCACCTTGCAAGAGTAGTTCACCAGGCCGCACGTCCTACAGAGGTCCTCGATCTCCTCTTCGCTGAAGTAGGAAAATCCCACTAAAAACTGCGTCCGACCCACCACAAAAGAGAATGAGTGAGTGAGTGAGAGGGAGAGAGAGAGAGAGAGAGAGAGAGAGATGGGCTTGGGTTCAACTTTACCCTGCCGAGAGAGTTGACACTAGAAAGGAAGGTGGTGGCAACGAAAACGCCCCCGCTTCTCAGGACGCGGTTTATCTCGGCGACCTATTGAAGAGGAGGACCTCCAGATCAGAATCAGGGTTCTCAAGTTGGGGTTCACCAGAGTCAACGGGTCATCCAGTTGTCGGTTCGCAATTCCAATTTTGGCAATTTTCTTGAATAGTTATCCATATGGGGAGTGGTTTTTCAGGAAGCGAGGGATCTAAGATAGTAGCAATGGTGAGAGGGAGAAGGATTACCGCATTAGAAGGAGAAGGCCAGCAGTGGAGGGCCGCACCAGCATGAATAGCATCGATGGAACCTGACTCAAAAGGGAGCCTTGAGACATCTGCTCTAACAAGAGCGAGGTTCCTGAAAAATTCATGTAGATGTGAAATCATTAGAAAATTTACCAACATTAGAGAGACATGCCCTCAAGAGAGAGAGAGAGAGCGAGAGAATTTTGAGGCTCAAGCCTGAAAACATGGGCTTGATCCTCAAGGATATGCCGGAGCTTTTGGATGCCCCATTGTATCCTCACACGTGCCTTCAACTATGTCACAGATGAGAGAGTCTTTGTTAAGGTTTAGGAAAGAACCATTTTCCTCAGGTTAGAAGGTCAAAACAGTGACCTTGAATAGACCATTATGCTAATTCTGTCATCTGTTCGTCAGAAGAAGATGATGGTTAGCTCTATATCTTTCAAGAGATCTAGAATTTCATGTACATGTAGAATTATTAGAAGATTACAGAGAAGTAGAGAGACATGCCTTCATGAGGGAGAGAGAGAGAGAGAAAGAGAGAGACGTTTTGAGGCTGAAGATTGAAACATGGGTATAGGAGGCCTATTAAATCCAAATATCCATCCATTAAACGGCTTCAACAGTTTAATAAGCCTGATGGGGTGAACCCAAAGCTGATGATCTTTTATCCTTATTGAAAGTTTTGGGCAGATAGTCCCATGTTCTCTACCTAATATGGGATCCCTCATGAAAGCATTGTGTCATCTGAGCATAAAGTCAACTGACCATGGGTTCATTTACTTGTATAGGATTGACCTAACAAGACGATAGGTTTTAGGATTTATGGTTTCAGGTCCACAACATTTGAGAGCCGGTTAAGAGATGACCATAGGTTTACGGTGATTATCTAAAACTTGAACTGATAATAGAATACCAGAAAGTAGATTAAAGGAATTAGCTTACGCATTCAAGAGAGCATCATCTTTTGCAATGAAGTCGTAGCACTGGCGAAGCATGTTCTCAGAGAAATCCAGTGCAATGACTCCGGAGAAAGTCCCAGAGCTGGCGAACTTTCTTGAAAATAGGCCACTCCCGCAGCTTACGTCTAATAGAAGACCACCTGCTACAGGCTTGAAGTACTCCTGAGCCATTTTGAACTGCAGGGGTGAAACATTCTCAGTATAATACCACAGAGGATGAAGAAATATAAAAATAATAATCATCATCATTATCATCAGTAACATTATGCAAATCATGAATATAAAACATGAACCTACATAAATTAGTCTATTTTAATAAATTAAATATTTATTGTTGCAGAGCACCTCATCTTCAAGACCAGGGAATCCATTTTGACCAAAACCTTGTCGCCATCCCCTCTCATAAAGAAATGAGACAAGTGGACTCCTGACGAGAGGAAGAATTAAAGACATGAGAGTATAATTATGAAGCCCCTGATCTACAGCTGTAATCAAGTTATGAATTGAAGTGCAACAAACAGAAATAGAAACCGAATTGGAATCTTCGATCGCATGGTTGAGCAGCTAGTAACATGTATTTGTATTTCTTCGTAAATTTATATTTATCCAGTTCACTTCAATTTTACCTATTCTGTTGTCAAAGAAAAAGCCCATCACTGGTATGAAAAAATCGACCTTGTGCAACCCCAGAATGATAGTTTCAAGAAGCATTAGCGAATTCAGCTTCACTTTTCTTTTCTAAGAAAGGGAGTATTCCCTAATTGAATTTAATATTCTTACCCTAGTTCATTGATAGGAAGCTTGAGATAGGCCACAGATACGAAACGATAGCCAGTTTTCTATATTTAGAGATGACTTTTTACCCCGTGGATGGGTCTTTCGGGATCCTGGATCACAAATCATTTTTTGCCTTTTCAGCCGATGAAGTCCTGTTTTATGAACGATGATCTCTGGGTCCTTGCAACCCCTTGAGAAATCAATCGTACATCCAAGGGAGGTCTTCTGTGCATATCTCTCTCTATACTTCTTCTTTGTGCCAGAATACTCAAGCCAGGGCAAAGTGCCAGTGCCATAAAGGGCCTCTAAAATGTTAGAGGAAACTTCATTCTTTTTGCCAAAGTAATTGCAGTCATCTAAACAAGAAGAAACAGGTACTACGTCACGAACCTGAACAGCTCAGTCTTTGAAGGCATGAATTCATTGTACGCCCTAGTCCCGGACGTGACGGTGAGATCAAGATACGTATTCCTGCTGGAGAACGGCTTGTTGCACCTTTCACACTTGAAACTAGACCTGTAGATGGCCGACCTGATGAACCACACCAATGTTCAGATATCCCAGCCAAGATAATAGGCATGCCAGAGAGAGTTAGAAATGAGGTGTTCTCACGGGTTTAGGCCTGAGGGCCCCTTCCTTATCAGTGGTTCATAGCAAATTGGGCAAGCAAATATGTCGAGTTCCGGACTAGCTTCCTCCTGAAAAATCGAAGCTTCTCGACTCAATATTTCTCCATCGGCATTGAAACAAGACCACACGATTGTACAGAAAACTTTAAAGATAGAGATCCGAAGTTAGGCAGGACCCCCTACCTTCCCAACAACGGCCACCGCGGCTTTGATCCGGAACCTTGCGGGTGAATGCAGCCTCCGCCCCTGGCGGAAGGGAATCAGAAGCCCCGGATTGGCGGAGATCCTCCACAGGTCCTGTTCTGCCTGTCGGAGGCGAGAATGAGAACGGAAGGACGCCAGAAGCGTCGCGGAGGAGGCCATCGCCACTTCGCCGCCTCTTCCTCCTCAATTTCCGTCTCTACTCTTCGATCCTTCGATCTTCTGGAGATCGAAAATCCCACGTACTTTGAAGCGTCCTGGTAGACGTGAAGTTCTGAGCTTCACGTCGTTCGCAACATTCGTCTAAAGTAGGCAGGCGTTCAGTTGTAGCCACCTACCCCACCCACCAAAAAAAAAAAAGGGAAAATTGGGAAAACATAAAAATTTTAGATTTTCGAACTTTCATTAGGCCAATTTTTTTGAAAATTCAATTACTAAAAAAGGGAATTACAAATACCTCTCCAGTGAAGGTTGGTAGATCTGATCTGCCAGTTGGCTTGCAAAAGGTTATGTAGCTGCTTGCAATTGTGGAAAACATTAACAAGATCGTGTACCACAATGTCTCCATTAATCAGGGGAGTGTCAGTGCTAAGATCACTCCATGTTGCCATCATGCCCGGCGTTTTCTCTACACTGGACACGGCAAAACATGATTTTTGATGGTGTTGAAGCTGGCCCACAAGTCCAATCGGGCCTATAATCAAATAATGAACCCCACCCGTCTACTAATGGCTTTCATGGCCCGAAAATTTTCCCAAATTTTTTTTCGAAGGGGTGGGTGGGGAGTCCTTGTTGGCCTCTTGTTAAGAGAAAAAATGCCACAGGCACAACTGAACACCTACATATTGTAGACGAATGTTGCGAGCGACGTTAGTAGACGAGTGCGGTTCATTATTTAATTATAGGCCCGATTGGACTTGTGGGCCAGCTTCAACACCATCAAAAATCATCTTTTGCCGTGTCCAGCGTAGAGAAAACATCGGGCATGATGGCAACATGGAGTGATCTTAGCACTGACACTTTCCTGATTAATGGAGACATTGTGGTACACAATCTTGTTGGTGTTTTTCACCATTGCAAGCAGCTATTGTAAACTTGTCCAAAAGGTACCTCTCGTTAAGAGAATTTTAATTCAGAATTTGGAGCCTTATCATTTGATATCTGAGCTACTTCTGGCCATAGGGTTGAAGGGCTCACAGTTGTGAGGATGAAATCCATTGAGGTGGATATTGAGACACTCAAAGAGGAGAACAAAAGGTGTAGAATAAATCTTACAACTAATTCAACAGTTGACAATTTTGATGACACACATCAAAGAAAATCAAGGAGATCAGACGAGAATACAACTCACATCTCAACATCTTCAAAATCAAAAGTAAAAGGTGAAAAATTACAAGTTAACTTGCATACAGATCTACCTACCTTCAGTGGAGAGGTATTTTTGTAATTCCACTTGTTAGTAATTGATATTTCCAAAAAAAACAAACCTATTGAAAATCTGAAAAATATAATTTTTAAGTTTTCTTTGTGACCAAACTCAAAATCTTTCTTGTGACTAACAGAGTAATGATCCATTAGGAATGTAGAAGTATGGTTACATAGAGCATAAATATATTTTGGCATAAATGAACCACCAAGATCAGATCATTTAGAATTTATAATGCTTAGCATGGAAGGAGATGCATTGGATCTGTATTTATGGATGGAAGATCATTTTTTATTCTAATATTTTTATGATTTTAAAATATAGATCAATAGTTGATTTGGATCATCAGCTTCTAATAATATATATCATCAACTTTTGAACGTAAAGCAAGATTGTTTAGTCTTGGAGTACATATCAAAATTTGAAAGACTCTCAACTTATCTTCTCAATATTAGAACATACTTATTTGAATGGACTCAAACCTGAGATCCAATCCAAATTATCTATGTCCAAATCGATTAGTTTAAGAGACATTATTGACACTTTGGTTCAAGCAGAAGCACACTAATGCACTCTCTGGCAAACATAGAAGCAAGAATAGCCAAATGAACAAAAGGTTTAGCTTGGTCTCTTACAATCCCCAACAATAGAGGATCATCATAGCATCTACTCTCGACAATGATCATACAAATCAGGGTAAAGTTCCTATTTCATCAATCCCTGTCCCTAGTAAGAAATTTACATCGATATAAAATCTTCAGAAATAAATAAAAAATAGAGGAAATTGAAGACAACTACAACTAATTGAAGCAGAATTAGAGGAAAAGAAGAATAAAGGACTATGGTTTCACTAAAATGAATAATATGGGCCTAGACATAGATGCAAACAAGACCTTAACATCCTTATTGTATAGGAGGAAGATAAAATCTAATAACACTTACAAGAAGAAGACTAGACCAAATAGAGTATTGTATACAATAGGAAGAGTCTATACATAGCATATATTTCCTTGAATTCTATCATGGGCTTGACTTGACATAGTACTATGAAAGTAGGAAAGGCACTGCAAGATAAAGATGTCACAATCCTCATTGACACTAATGTTACACAGTATTTTGTGTCATAAATTGTTGAAAGAATTGTCCTTACAAGTTAGTGAATTCTATAGCTATGACATAGTAATGGGTAATGACCATATGGTATAAGGAAATGAGATATATTAAAATATTCCATTGAAAATTTAAGACTTCTTATCTTTGGATCTTAGCAATATTGATTCACAAGACATGGTTGAGGGTTGTTGAAATACCTCAAATGCAATTTATCAAAACATTTATAAACCCGAATTTCACTGATTAAACTATGAAAAATCAAGTATGACAGCAAGTTTGGGAGCGATCCATAGGGACCATGCAATTCATGCGATTCAAATGAAATTGGTGGACGAAGTAAGGAGAAAACTACAAGGATTAGATGATGGGATCAAAGGAGATAGTAAGAAGCATGAATCAATTGAAAATTGATCACCAAAAAAGGAAAAAATGGAAAAATATACTGTGAATGGAAAAATAGATCTATCTAGAATGGTTGTAATCAATACGCAAGCCTCACACTAATCTGAATTGTCATTGTAATGATTCAATGTGCACCAGATCAAAGGCTTTTATAGGCGTTTCCATGACGGCAGAGCCCTCAATTCAAGTTGGGATTATGCTTTTGATAAACAACCAAATCGTGAATATTTGGTGCCAATCAAATCGTCTCTTGAAGAGCTTTACAATGGTACCAAAATATTATACGGTGGAACAGAACAAAGGTTGCACTCGGTCAAGATTTCTTGAGTATGTTTTTAAATAAATAGAAAAAGGGAAAGAACACATACATAGGGGGGGGTTCGAAAGGGGGATCACTGTCCAATTTTGATTGGACAGTAGAGACCATGCCATATCACTGATAGTCCATTGAAATGTTGTTGAATCCACACACATAATGTACCCCACATTGGTGCAAGTCTTGGGCTGATTCATTTGTTCTACTTTCACTGCTGACTTGTCGGTTACACTTTCACCACTGACTTGTTGATGATTCAACGGGCAGCCCCCTAATATTTCAGCCTGTTGGGTCACTTGGCTTGGCCTACCTGGTTCAGCCCAACTTCGCATGTTCCGATTTTCTTTTATTTTCTTATTTTAATAATTCCTAAAAAATACCTAAAAATCCTAGAAATTATAAAAAAAATCTAAAAAATTATGAAAAATCTAGAATAAATTCTAGAACTCACAATAAAATTCATTTATAATTATTTAAAATTAGTTATCTTAAAATAATATAAAAATATCAAAATATATGTTTATGTATGAATGATCGAAATATGGTGGAATTAAATGATAATATGCATCATGTTATCACTAATGTTATTCTAGATATCCAATGGTTGAAGAGTCTAGGGTTATCCGGGTGGATAAATTCACATTATGGAAATTTGATCATGAAATTGATGATCAATAATGACAGTCATATTGTCAAAGGAAATGCAAGTTTGACTAAAATAGGTATGTCCTTAAAGGCTACTAATTGTGAATTAAAGAGGGGCATGTTTTTGCAATGGAATTACACTATCTATTGAGCCAAATATATGACCATAAGTTATCACAAGAAAAATCAAAGATTAAACTCAGATTATAGAAACAATTTCCTCAAATTTTTTAACAATGTCCAAGGCCTCCTCTTAATTGAGAAGTTGACCATTCTATCAATTTTATTCTTGGAACTCAACCAATAAATTTACTGTCATTTAATTATTCAAAAATTCAAAAAACTCAGATACATGTCTGAGAACTATGTTCAACACGTTTCAGTCTTCTAACGGCCCATATGTTTGCCTAATACTACTAGTTAAAAAAATAGATGAAAGTTGGTAATTTTTCATTGATTACATAGCTTTTAAAAAAATCACTATTCTAAAGAAGTTTTTGATCCCAATTGTGGATGAATTACTTGATGAACTACATTATATGATACATTTTTCTAAATTAGACAAAGTCTTAATATTATCAAATTTGGTGAAAGAAGCTTACATTCTCAAGACAGCTTTTAAAACCATGAAGGCCACTGTGTTCAAGGCTATACCATTTGGACTTTCAAACACTCTAGCCACCTTCCGATCTTTGATGAAATTTTCAAGTCATATCTCAAGAAATTTGTACTAGTATTCTTTGATGATATCTTCATATATAGCCAAATTATAAAGGAGCATGAATAGCATCTGGACAATGTATTTTTATTCTCGTAGCCAACAATCTATACATAAATATAAGAAAAATGTTAATTCAATCAACCACCATTATAATATCTTGACCAGTAGATCTCTATAGAAGGGGTATCTATAGGTAAAGGAAAGATCTTGACCATTGTGGAATGGCTTATACCTAAGAATATGGGAGAATTAATAGGATTCTTAAGGTTGAGTAACTATTATCAAAGATTTGTCATGTGATATGTAATTATAGCCTGACCTCTAACTCACTTATTAAAGAAGAATTCATTTCATTGGAATTTAAAAGCTCAAGCAGCCTTCAACAAGCTAAAAATTACAATGACTTCTACTCTAGTATTAGCTCTACCTAATTTTTTTGAGACATTTATAGTTGAGATAGACATTTTATGGCAAAGAGTAGAGGCAATTTTGATGCAACAAAGAATACCAATTACCTATTTTAGTCATGTTTTTCCTAA